GCTCACCGCTGCCGCGTCACCAGGTTGATGTAGTGGCGCAGGGCCGAGAAGTACTTGGCCATCTCCTCGGGGGAYGCGTCCTCGCCGGGGCTCTGCGGCTTGGGCGGGTAGGCGCCCGCCAGGCAGAGCAGCGCGCACAGCGCCAGCGCGCCCAGCGCCCGCCGCATCTGCGGGGACACCACGGGTCCCCGAGCGCCCCGGGGCAGCCGCGCTCCCCCCGCGCCCTCCCGCTCCCCCCGGGGACGGGTCCCCCCTGCAAAGGGTGCCTGGGTTCCCCAAGGGGACCTCTGTTTTTCAGGGACACCTGTGGGACCCTCTGCAAGGGGACAAGTCCCCCCGCCAGGGACACCCCATATCCCAAGGGGACATTTCCTCCCACCAAAGAGCCTCCTCACCTCCCCAAGGGGACACATCCCCACCAAGGGACCCCAGTTCTCCCCAGCGGGACCCCCAGGGACCTTCTCAAGGGGACATCACCTCCTCGAGACCCCCAAGGGGACGCTGCCTGCCAAGAACCCTCTTCACCCTCCCAAGGGACCTGTACCCCCCTCCCAGGGCCACCCCATCTCCCCAGGAGACATCTCCCCCCTCAAAGACCCTCCTCACCTCCCCAGGGGGGACAAGTCACCCCAGGGACCCCCAAGTCCCCAAGGGGACACAGAACCGCAAGGGACCCCAAAGCGCCCCGCAGCTCCCCAAGGGGACATCACCTGCCAGGGACCCCCAAGGGGACATCTCCCTGCAAGGACCCTCCTCATCCTCCCAAGGGGACCTGTCCCCTTTCCCAGGGCCACCCCAACCCACAAGGCACCTCTCCCCCCGCCCAGCTCCCCGTGGGGCTCCCCAGGGTCCCCAAAGTCCCCCCCAGGCCACCACAGCCCGTCCTGGCACTCACGGAGGAGCCGGGAGGTGCCACGGCGGGGCCGGGTGCTGGGGGTGACGCTGGGGACGGTGCTGGGGACACCGAGGGCTCTGCCACCCGCCCGGGCTCTTATAGCCTCCCAGGGGAGGTGGCAGCTCCTCCCTCGCCCCCTCAGCCCCCAGTCCCCTGTGCCCACGTCACGGCACCGACCCGGGCACCGCAGCGGGGCCGAGGAAGAGGAGGGTGCGGAGAGGAAGCGGGGGTGGCCTTTTACATGYACCCCCCCCCCAGCACTCTGCATGGGGGGGACACAGGGTGGGGACACAGACAGGACACGGCCTCGGCTTCGCCAGCCCCCCGGTGCCATCGACCGCTGTCACCGCGCGGCCAGGACGGATGAGCTGCCCTTTCCGTCCCCRCTTCGTCACCCACCGCACGGGAGGAGGCACGGATTCCCTAGGGATGTGGCAGCCGGGAGCGATGCCTGCAGGAGGGCGAGGGCAGGGGGCACACGGCAGCCGGCGGGGGGACACGGGGGGCAGATGTGCCCGGGGCGGCCGGGGCACGCGAGCGAGCGTCAACGCGCGCACAGCTCCGGGTGGCTCGTGGCAGCGAGAGGAGCACGCATGCGTGTGTACCCCACGTGCTGCAGGACATGTGTGTGCACCCCACGTGCTGCAGGAACACGTGTGTGCACCTCATGTGCTGCAGGAACACGTGTGTGCATCCCACGTGCTGCAGGGCATGCGTGTGCACCCCACGTGCTGCAGGAACACGTGTGTGCACCTCATGTGCTGCAGGACATGTGTGTGTACTCCCTGTGCGGCAGGAACATGTGTGTGCACCCCATGTGCTGCAGGGCATGTGCATGCACACCTCATGCTGCAGGAACATGCATGTGCACACCTCGTGCTGCAGAACATGTGTTTGCACCCCACGTGCTGCAGGAACATGCATGTGCAGCCCTCATGCACACAGAACATGTGTGTGCACYCCAYGTGCTGCAGGAACACGTGTGTGCACTCCACGTGCTGCAGGAACATGTGCGTGCATACCTCATGCTGCGGGAACATGCATGTGCACACCTCGTGTGCTGCAGGACATGTGTGTGCACCCCTCATGTGCTGCAGGACATGTGTGTGCACACACTGTGTGCTGCAGAGACATACACGTGTGTTCACCCGATGTGCACGCACAGCTGCAGGGACACACGTGTGTGCACACCCTACATGCTGCAGGGACATGTGTGTGCTCACACCCCACATGCACACACAGCTGCAGGGACACATGCATGAGCACACTTCACGTGCTGCAGGAACACATGTGCGTGCATACCCTGCATGCACACAGAGCTGCAGGCACACACGTGTGCACACACGACGTGCACACAGAGCTGCAGGGACACACATGTGCACACTCCATATGCTGCAGGGACACGTGTGTGCACACCCCACGTGCTGCAGGAACACACACGTGTGCACACAGAGCTGCAGGGACACACGTGTGTGCACAGCCCGCGTGCTGCAGG